CCTTTAGTACACCTCCCCTTAGTGAAGACGGACTGGGACCGAAACCGAACCGACGGACCTGGGCCCGCAAAAATAACGGCCGCGGCGCCCTCTAGCGAACCGAACACGGCCAACTCCTTCATCGACGTGTCAGGGTAGGAGGTCTGTCCACCCCCGAAGAGGAAGTCGTCGTCGTCGTCGTCGACCCATGCCCACAACTGCAGGGGACCTGTCAGACCTGTCAGGGCTGATGCCTGTCACTCACGGGCTCTGGCATCCCAAACCCCCTCGGGCATGGAAACAATTGCAGCAGGAAGGGTTTCGCTGTCTTCGGTCTCTGGGTGGCCCTTACAGGGCCTCGGGGAAGTCATAAAACGATCTGGCATGAGAAACTGGTCACGGGGAATGGGTCGAGGCTTGTGAGGGTCGTGGAGTGTGATTACCATCCCCACTCAGCATCCCTCCTCCATCCTCCTCCTCCTCCTCCTTCTCCACCTCCTCCTCCTCCTCCTCCTCCTCCTCCTCCTCCACTTCCTCCTCCTCCTCCTCCTCCTCCTCCTCCTCCTCCTCCGCTTCCGCCTCTTCCGCTTCCGCCTCCTCCGCCTCCGCCTCCTCCGCCTGCTCCTCCCCCTACTCCTCATCCTACTCATCTGCCTTTTCCTCCTCCTCCTCCTCCTCGTCCTCGTCCTCCTTCCTCCTCTTTCTCCCCTTCCTCGTCGCCTCTCCGAATTACAAAGAGCCTTTCAAATTGTGCTGTTCAAGCTCTGGAGCGAATCTTGACTCCAAGCAGGATCAGTCCACAAAAAAACCATCGCAAGAGACCAAACCCTGAAACTCGCAGACGTATCTTGGGCAGGGATTGGGTATCTTGCTCAGCGGTGCAAGCGAAGAAGCTCAGGGTGCCCTCGGCCAGGCAGTTGATTGATGACTCGCGCAAAGCATCTCAGCGTTAAGAGACTCAGGGTTCCCTGCCAGCTGCGGTTTCTTCACGACCGCTGCATGCCTTGAATCCGAAAACAAAGCAAAGAAACCCAGGGTACCCCAGCAATTTGCATGGTGCTTCTTGGCAAGGGCTCCCACTAAAAACGCGGAAACGTCGGTGTCGACCTTGGTCATCGTCAATTTTGATGATCGTGTATTCGTGCATCAACCTCGCGATTCGGCGACGGCCGGCATGGACCATGACGACCAAGATCGGAGTCGACAAAATACCACGATACCTAGACAATGGTCATCGTGCCTCTCTAGAGATGCGGTTTTGGCCGTTCCGTACGGGATCCCTGGGAGTCCCGGTCCATCTGATATGGTTTGTCACGCCAATTCCGTTTCTCAGTGTCCCGGCGCCCGGAAAACGGTCCCTGGCGGCAAAAAAAAAGAAAGAAAGCCTGCCCGAGCCCAGAACATCGAACCTGCCCGCCCCTCTTGCTGGGAGGAAAAAGCGCTGGGCCATCTGAGACCTCCAGGCGGCTCAAAGACCCGACCCTGTCCCCGGGGCCTGTTTTCCACCACCACCACCACCACCACCACCCTGAATAGGAGGGGGAGGGGGGCCTCCTTCTCCCCCCCCTCCGCCTCCTCCGCCTCCTCCTTTTCCTCCTCCGCCTCCTCTTCCTCCTACTCCTCCTCCTCCTCCTCCACCTCCTTCCCCCATCCAACTTATGGTGGTGGTGGAAAACAGGACCATCAGCCCATGTTCCATGCGGAGTCGTTTTGTTGATGGCCCCAAAGCCCAAGCGGTCTCCAGCGGGAGGCCGACAAAACGGCCAAACACCTCCAGACGTGGCTTCCCTTCACGACGCGAGCACGTCTGGGTAGGTATCGTCGCCCCTCCGCCCCCGAGCGCTTCATCTCCGCCCCTCCGCGCCTCAACGAGCCCCGCCCATGCCCTTAATGCTTTTCGCCGGGGCGCCCCGCCAATCGCCGCGTGCTGTGCACTCTCTCCTCTCCTCTGCTCCCTCCCTTCTCCTCATCCCTCCTCCTCCTCCTCCTCCTCCTTTACCTCCTCCGTAGCCATTTTGGCTCAAGACTGATGCTTTTGCGGGCTGAGCCCGCATTGGCCAAACTGGATACCGCTAGTCCGCGGCAGTCTTCATCCTTCACGGAGGTCCCTTCCTCAGTCCGCCCTGGGGAAAGGGGTTCGCTAGCCTCCATTCCTGTCCTGCCATGGCGTGGCGTCGGAGTGCTCCGTGGCGCGTCGCTGGTGGCGAAGGGAAAGGCTCTTGGGTATGGCAGCCTGAGAGTGCTGGCGGTCCTCAGTCGGGGCCCCGTGGCAAGAAGAAGGTCAAGTCTAAGGACAACTCGTACAAGGTCTGTTCTCTCTGCACTCACTGGGAGTACTCTCGTCGTGGTCACCGCGCCTGCAGTCTGTGCGGTGGTCAATACCTTGATGGTCCTCGTCCTGGGCATGGCGATCAGGCTCATCATGGCGGTCCTGGTGGAGTCGGACTCGGTGCTGCTGCTGCCCCTGGCGCTGCTGCTGTCCCGATGCCGCCCCACCTCGTGCAGGAGTTGGAGCGCTGGGCTGTTCACTACCCTGCCCTTGCAGGGGTGGCTCGCGATGCCGCCCCGCCTGCGCCTCCCGAGATCCGTCTGTTCACGGCTGGTGAGCTGGATCAGATGGCCGCGCTCGAGCAGACGCGGCTTGCTCGGGAAGTGGAGGCCGCATCGAAAAACGAGAGGTTGGCTGCCCAGGAGGTGCAATGGAGGTTGGACCGATTCAACCGTGCGAAGGCTACGATGGAGGATATGCAGAATAATCATCTCATGGCGGAGCAGAACCTCGAGGTGGCTCGCCGAGAGACGCGGGAGGCCGACTCCAGGAAGTTGGCTTTCAGTGTCGAGATGTTCAAGCAGAGCAAGATTGAGAAGCAGCGGCGCGAGGCTGAGCGCCAGGCTCAGGCGGCCGCGGACGCAGGCCGCCTGAGAAGTGGCAACAGTATCGACTCCACCTGCAGCGTATGCGAGACGCGCAGCCCGACGATGTGTCTGAGTTGGGCAGTGAAGCTGGAGACGAGCTCGATCAAGTTGAACGCGACCAGTTCCGTGAGCTCAAGAAGAGAGCAGGCGAGGCTGGCTTGGACGTGGCCGAAGCCAAGGAGTACACCGATCTGCTGCAGAAGAGGCGCATGGCTAAGTCGGTCAAGCGTGCGCGTACTTCCCAGGCCGTCACCTGCGACATGTACCGCACTTTCTGCACCGTCGCGGCCACCCAGATGGACAAACAAGGAGGCGCTGGAGGCGCTGCTGCTGCGGGTGCGGCTGCTGTTTCTGAAGCCGCCCAGTCTTCTGTGCCGCCGCGTGTTTAGCAGTGCTCCTCCGCCCCATGGGCGGCTGCAGTCCGACCAAGGAGAGGTCAAGTCTTTGATCTCTCATGCTGTTGCATAGCACGTGCACCTCAAGTTTGCGAATATAACTCAGTGGTCGAAGCTCACTCAGGACTTTCTGGCAGCTGAGGTTTCTGAGGTTGATGGAATATTCATGGCTGAACACCATGTCAGAGGGCCGGAATGTTTTCGGGCCAAGAAGGATTGCCGCCACATGAAGTGGTCACCCTACTTTTAGGATGCTCTTGACTCGCCTGGAGGGGGAACTCACGGAGGGGTTGCTGCTGTCGTCCAGCCACGTCTCTGCTTTCGCAAGTTTCTTGTCCAAGCGCGAGGGGCAAAGCAAGTGGGTGCAGGAGAATGTTGGTTCTTTCTCGAATTGCGTCTGAAGGCGTGTACGGTAGCTGTTGGAGTCATCTACCTTGTGCCATCCATTGGAGTTTCTGGAGTGAACTCTTGTCGTCTGCGTGCGGTTGCTGAATTCGTTCGGGGTCTGGAAGCCCATGGTTCCTGATGGGCGATTTTAACTTGTCGGTTGATTTCCTGGAAGATGCTGGAGTCTTGGAATTGATGTCCGCTCGAACCCTGGTCCCTGGCAATGTTGAGTTTACGTGTTCGGTTGGGGAAACGATGATTGATTGCGTCGCGTGCTCTCACCTGTTGTTCCCTTACCTCACAGTGTCTGCCGACCTCCTGTCCCCATTCAAGACGCACGCGTGCTTGGACGTGATCTTGGACCTCGAAGCCACGGTGGAGCCCCAGTGCATTCGCGTGAAGCCCCTGGAGGTTCCTGAGGCCCTGGGACCCGGTAATCACTGGCTCACCTATATGTCGGCGGCTCAAAACCTCGGGGACCCTGGCAAAAGCATCCTGGAGGCTCCCTTGGTCATGCCTGAGGACCTGTATGAGGCTATGTCTGAGCACTCGAAGGAGTTCTTGTCTAGGAGTCTTGGGATGCAGTATCTTATGTGGTCTCGTGCTATGGAGTTGCGAGCTCTTTCACGCGCGTGCGCTCTTGTTTCTGATCCACGCAGATATCTTGGTCGTGGTTCCATGCTGAAGCGAAAGGACTGTTCTCTGATGACTCGCGGTGTGCAGGCGCAGAGTTTTCGGAATGCTGACTTGTCCTTTTGGTCTCTCGTTTCGAGCAGGCTGCATGAGTTATGGCGGCTTGCATGCAAGTCACCTTTCTCTGATGCTGCCCGCCAGCATCGCACTGTTCTCTCTGCCTTGGCGGCCGACGTCTTTGCTCACATCGAGCCCCTCGTCAGCCCAGAAGACGCTGAGAGTTGGAAGGAGATGCTTGAAAACCCCCCACGATCGGAAGGTACGTTGCGAAACCTCGTCGACGCTGCAGGTGATGTTTGTGCTAAATCATGGTCCCTAGCTCATGCCAAGACTAGGAGTAGCATGAAAACCTGGTTGACGTCGTCGTTACCTCGGGGAGCTAGTCCTGTTCACCGTTACCTGAAAGCTGAGGAGAAGGTTTGGGTTGAATACTTGGAGACTCCTGGAGGCATCGTGAACACTCCAAAAGACATGATGAGATATCGTGAAGATAAGTGGTCGTCTTGGTGGACTCCTTCCGCACAGCAGCTGTCTTGTTTGAATGCGGGCATGAGCGAGCTGAGG